TCTGACTGTTCCCTGCCTTTCTCATTTCTAGTCTTTCAGTTAGGTTATGTAAAGGAGTTGGGGAAGAACAAAAGAGAAAAACGAAGGAATACCTGATCCTCTTCTACTGGGACTGTTCAAAGAGATGAACTTATCTGGTACGTACGAGTCTCAAATGTGGAGAAACTATCACCAGGACTCAATGTTTTAGATTCTTGAAATGTGATTTTCCCAGGAACATCAATGTCAAAGAGATGGAGCTGCGTCACAAATAATGGCATTGGTTACCTCTTTTCCAGCAGGGTTCATGGAAGTAGTAACAAACATTTTTCCATGGGCAGATATGGCGGGTGCTCCATGATCAACTGCACATACAACACTCCCAAACTGCCCACAATCTACCTCATGATCTGATACTTTATCAAAATGAATTCTAATGGGAAAAATGACACTGTAGGTTTTATGAGCCTCCTTTCCTAGGTTTATTATGGGAAGCCAATCATGTATTGCTTTTTCACTCAATACAAATGCTAAATGAAGACTCCTCAGAATCCGAATCAAACTGGTACATGGGCGGAGAGTGGGTGAGCGGTTAAAAATAGGTAAAATTTAGCAAACTGAATGCATTAATATATAAAAAGAATAACATATTACTTCCAAATTGGATTTTGATTTATCACACTAACAAAATTAAGGTGAAAAGTAATATGATCATCGTAAGAGGTACATAATGAGCATGTGGTAAACTTCTACATCCATTCTTATTTTAAAACATAACAAAAAAGAAAAACTCTTCTGGGAAGAAAACTCCTTTAATCTTAATAATGTCTACCATGAAAAACCTGAAGATAGTACCTAATGGTGAAATAATAAAAGCCTTCTCCTATTAAGATCCAGAATAAGACGACATCTGCTATTCAACAATGTATCAGAAGTCCTAACCAAAGCAACGAAGCAAAAGAAAGGAATAAAAAGTACAGGGATTAGAAAGAAAACGAAAAAATTAAATCTTTCATTATTCTCAGATGACATAATTGTGTACCTAGAAGCTCCAAAGGAAATCTACAAATTATTAGAATTAATGAGTGACTTTAGCAAGGTTACGATATACAAAGTCAATATGTTTTTTTAAAAGTTGTACATATATATACAAAAAACAGGAAATGAAAGGGCATCAAAAACCACCAATGAGGAATAAATCTAGCAAATGATGTAAGACTATATCCAAAAATCTATCAAAGAAATTTGAAAGAAATTTTTAAAAGCCTTAACAAATGGAGGGATATATGCCATAACTGGAAAACTCGACACACTTCAAAGAATGGAGTTAATAATGTTGGCTCCTCTTCTGGTAGTTGCAGAGTGGCTCCTACCAGACCTATCAGCTTTCTCACAGACAACTATGAACACTGGAAAACTCCTTAAAAGCACTGGAGAATGATCAAAAACTGAAAGGAGTCAACACCTGGAGGAATAGAATAGTGCTGTGTGAGGTTCCCATTGGTTTACAGCTTTTAGTTGGAAGCAAGGCCTCAGATGTTGCTTCACTCAGTTATGGTGAAAACTACCACAACCATACAGGCTTGAGGAATCAGAGGATAGAGTTTCACAGCAGCTAGAAAGTGCAGGGGAAATCCCCTAAAAGAGAAAGCCAAAGAGGAAGAGCCCTAACTTCCACATATAAAATCTGCCCAAACTTCCGGCTAACTACTTAATTAAAGAAGTGTGGGGCAGACTCCAAGTTGCCCAGCTGAAGAATTTTAGGTAGAACTGAGCAGCTGAAGTTGCTGCCTATCTCTCAAAAGAATTTGGTGTTTGGGTGCAACCAACTACTTAAAAAAAGACAAAAAAAAAAATCAACTTTTTAGAGAAATATAACAGAAGACTCTCAAGAACATATAATCTAACATACAATCCAAAGCTACTTTACACACAAGGAAACAGGAAAATGTGACCTAAATTCTGAAAATGGAATTAATGGAACAGACTCCAATGTGACCCAGATGTGGTAATTATCAGACTTTAAAGCAGCTGTTGAAACTAAGCTCAAAGGCATAAAGAAAAATATGCTCTTAACCAATAGGAAATATCAGCAGAGAAATAACAGCTATTAAAAAAAAGAATTTTTTAGAACTGAAAAATTCAATATGTGAAAAAATTTTAAATTCTACTGGATTGGGTTACAGGAGATTAGGAGATTAGCAATTACAGAAGACTCGGTGAACTACAAGATAGTCAACAAAAATTGTCCAATTTGAAGGAGAGAGAGAAAAAAAGGTTGGAAAAACAAAAACCAGAGCCTTAGTGACCTCATTTGGTGGAACAGTTATCAAAATTGGAATCCTATAAGAAAAGAATATTTAGCAAAATATTTATGTAAAAATATTTAATAAAATGATGCTTTTAAATTTCCCAAATTTGGGGAAAGGCTTATTTTTATAGATTCAAAAAGTACAAAGCAAAACAAAAACAAAGAAAACCATCTAGGCACATCAGGGTCAAAATACTAACAACTAAAGATTATGAAAAAATCTTGAAGGCAAGCATAGAAAAAACACAAATTACATACATGGGAACAACAATACAAATTACCACTGACTGCTTATCAGAAAAAAAAAAAGGGCTACAAGATAACTAAATAAGATCTCTCAAACTGCTAGGGAAAAAAAAAAACCCGTCAATCCAAAATTCTATTCCACCAAAAATATCTTTCAATAAAGACAAAATAAAAATAAATTCATAAACAAAACTAAGAAAATTCATAGCTAGCAGGTACTCACTACGAAAAAGCTAAAAGAGGTCTGTGTAAAGGTAAAAATACCAGATAGAACTATAATCTTCAGATAAGAAAAATGCCAGAAATGGTAAATATTTGGGTAAACGTATTTTTCATTTCTTTAAAATATATGACTACTTAAAAATTGTTTTTTGGGATTTATAATGTGTAAGATGCAATATACATATATATATATGTATATATGTCAGCTATAGCATAAAGAATGGGGAGGAGGTAGGAAATGAATTTTTATGATCGCAAGGTTCTTCAATTTCATAAGTAGTAGTATAATCTTAACTCTAAGTAGACTGTGACAAGATAAGGGTGCATACTGTAGTCCCTAGGGTAACAAAATTTTTTTTTAAGTGAAAAGGTATACTTAAAAAGCCAATGGATACATTAAAATGGAATTCCAATAAATATTTAACCTTAAAGAATGCAGAAAAGAGGAACAAAGGGGAAAAAATCGTAACACATCTATATGCTTAAATCCAACTATCTCAACAATTACATTAACTATAAATGAAGTAACCAATCCAGTTAAAAGGCACAACCCAACTATATGCTGTCTAATAAAAAATAAAAAAGATGAATAAAAAAGCACAACCCAACTATATGCTGTCTACAAGAAAACTATTTAAATATAAAGACACAGACAGGTTGAAAATAAAAGATTAAAAAGAGATCAACCATACAAACGGTTAAGTGTAAGCCTAGAGTGGCTATAGTAATATCAGAGATAAAATAAACCTCAAGTACTACAAGGGGGGAAAAAAAAAAGACATTTTATAATCATAAAAGGATTTACTTACCAGGAAGACTTAACAATCCTAAATGTATATTCATTTACTACTGTGAAGATGTCAACTTTCCCCAAAAGGATCTCTATATACTGAATACAATTCTAATTAAAATTTCTGTAGGTTTTTCCTTTGCTGAAATTAACAGGCTGCGTCTAAAATTTATATCAAAATGCCAACAGCCAAGAATAGCCACCTGTGCCAACCTGTCAAAATGTCTGATGTGTGTACAATGATGAGAGGGACTAGGGGACTTCACAGCAAATTCTCAAAAGGCAATCAGACTTGCCGCCACATTCCCTACTTACCTTTCTGTGCTTTACCAGCAAAGTTCCATCAGGCCCAAACACGGCACAGGTGTTATATAATTGCCCAGCATCTTCTTCAGGAATAGAACCTTTCATTGAGAGGAGAAACACACAGGCACAGAAAACATTCTAAATAAAGCATTCTTTCATGATAACTGAACAAAGGCTTGATAAACTGTCAGTTGGGTCCAACAACAAAGTTTATTATCTTCTAAGTGTTATTTAATCATTGTTCTGTTTTTCTTGAATACAATCATTCAGAGATAAAGTCCAGCGTGCAGATGAAGTGTAATTAGGCCAGATGCCAAAGACAGGTTTCAAAAGTAACCAAACTGGTTCTGAATTCAGCTTTGATCTTGAGCAACATTTATTCTGAAATACTGGAGCAACACAAGGAATTCATTTTTGCTCAAATGAAATTCACCAGGTCCTGCAACATAACTGCATCCACAAAGGCCTCAAGATGGGACTGTAAGCCACAAGTCTTTCCATCACTGAATGTAGTTCCCACAGTTCTCTTGCTTTGCCTCTTTTCTCCTTCCTCTTTTTCACGTCTAATTCTTAATACAGCATACATAATACAGAAGTAATTTTGTTTGCTATATTAGTTTTACTGGACTGATTTTTTTTATTTAAGCAAATTAAACATTTTAAAATTTACTTCAGAACCACATAAAGCTACCGTGATGTATGTGGCCTCCTTATGAAAAAAAAAAAAAAATTTTCTTAACCCTGTGTTGGTATAATGAAAGACACTCAGATATGGTTTTTTTTCTCACATTTCCACCTGCCCCTGAACTCCCTACTCCATCTCCATGGAAAATCATCACTGTCAGTGTGTGTCCTTCCACAGTATTTACTATGTCTTACATACATAAATACATATGAAAATCAATAACCTTCTTTCATATAGCAGAGTATTCTGAATGGGACTACCTGTGCAGAGTGTATTAAACTTGCTCTTTTTCCACCTAACTGTGTCTGAAAGATCTCTTCTCATTACTACACATAGATCTACCTCATTCTTTTCAATGGCTAATTTGTATTCCATGGTTTAAATGTAACAACAAAAATTATTCAGATGTTTTTATGTTTAGGCCATGAAGGTAGGAAGTTACCTCCAATGAGATATATGCTGCACTCCTTTGCTACTTCAGAAAGCTTCTGTGTGGATTCACCAGGAATTTTCTCTGCATATTCAGGAAAATAGTTTGTGCCATATGGAGAATTAAAACATTCCTAGAATAATGTTGGAGAGAAAAAGGAAGGGGAAAATATCAAAACACTCAAGACCATTTTAAAGTTCTACTGTAAGAAGACAAAGCTGCTGTTTTCAGCTCTGCTTTCTAAGGAAAACATTGATGCCCCACTCAGCACCTGGCTCAGGCCAAGACGAGTCACGAATGCTCACCCAGATCCTGGTCACCTTGGCAGAAGGCCAGAATTGCCTTTCCCTAGAGCCTGAGGATCATCAGCTTGTACAAGATATGTGTTAAAGGGGCACATGCTGAATTCATATGCTTTCTATTCTGGCATTTAGACTCTGCTTCCCAGCAACATAAACCAACAAAAGACCAAAATTAGGGTTCAAGCACAGGTGGGTCCCATGAGTGGAGTCTTAAGGAAGATGGAATTATCATTAAGATCTCAAAACTCAGCTCCCTTGTTAAAGATTCCTACTCATTAGCTACATGTGTGATCGCCTGGAGCCTAAAATACAAGGTGGCCCTAAAAATTCTCCAATCTAAGCAGGGTTTGCAAAGGGTTGCCTCCACCACAGGGAGGGAGAGCGGGGGAGGGACCGTCTGGAATAGTTCCACCGCTGACCCCAGCAGGCCTCTGCCCATGGAAGATGTCAGTAAATGCATGTCCAGACATGTGCTGGACCCTTTTCTGGCGCTAACCCCCTACTTGCTGACAAACAAATGTGGTGCAACCTTCACTGGTTTTCTTTTCAAAGAAATCACCAGGAAAAGAGATGCAGGTCCCTGGTAGCCTACTACAGGCTACCACATTGAGGAAGATAACGTAGCCTGTAGTAAGCCAGTAAGAAACCACAGGCTTCCTAAATGTCTAACAATTTTCAGTTTTCAACAATTTTAAATGTTGGAGGCCTAGCTCTAAAATCAATACGACCTGGTCCTATAAAGACTTAATTATACCAGAAAAGAAGTATCCTAGCCACTGAGTATTTTAGCTTTAGGTAAGTCCCTCACCCTACTAGGATTCTGAACAGAGTAGGTGATCCTAAAGTTAAAGACCTGTAGGATGCTAGCACGTCCTATCACAAAGACCCCTGTCAGGGTCATCTTCTAGACAAACATAGAACCATCCTGGGGCCACAAAGGACCTTGCTGGACTCTGGACACAAGAAGAAAACCAGAGCTAACAGACACTATTCTGCTGGGTTAACAATTCACAGAAAGAGGTGGCTGTCTTCATACTTACTGGAAGAGAAACTATCTTGGCTCCTTGCGTGGCTGCCTTCCGGACAAGGCCACAAGCTCGAGTGAGGTTATCTGATTTGATAGAAGAAACCTGCAGCTGGATGAGGGCCAAGCGGAAAGCTGAGGATGAAGAGAAAAGTTTTCAAAAGATCTGACAGTTGAATCAGAGCAGCAGTTCTCAACCTGGACGCAATTCTGCCCCCCCCCCCCCAATCCCTGGACATCTGGCAATGTCTGGAAACATTTCTGATTGTCACAACCAGTGCGATGCTATTGGCATCTAGTGGGAAGAGGTCAGAGATGCTACTAAACATGCCACAATGTACAGGGTAGCTCCCCATAACAAAGAATTATCTAGTCCAAAATGTCAATAATGCTGGGATGGAGAAATCCTTAGAATAACATCCATGAGCAAAGCCCCATGCCTGCCTCAAGAACCTGAAGTAAGTTAGGCAGGGCCAGCTTACTTAAAAATGAGAACACGACTTGAAGGAACACAAATACAGAACTGTTCCTTACTATTTGATCTTGGGCCTCAGGGCCTACCCCTTATCCAGGTACTGAGCGCATCCCAGCAGAGATGGTGAAATCCCTTGGAAGTCACTCACCCACTATGAATGGGGCAGTGGGTCCTTGGGGAAGGAGATGCCTGCTCAAGTTCCCCATCACCAGCCGGGGCACAATGCATAGGTCCAGCTGCTAGCAGGAGGGGGAACGTGGCAACCAGACGGCTGCACATGTGTATAGTCACAGGGCAGGGCCCCTGATCACCTGTGAGGGTCTGCACTCACCCCCATGAATAATCCTGTGCCCAAAGGAGCACAACATTTAAGCAGCAAACTAAAACAGCATGAGGTTGAGACACTGTGGAAAGAAAAGCTAACAGCACTTCTTCCTATCTGAAGAAGGGGCTCCACATTTTTATTATGGACTGGACTCCACAAATGATGTAGCCAGCCCTGCCAACAAGATCTGTTGTCAGTCTTGGGGAAAGGTCGGGGGCTCTTTCAGGCTTACTTCTTTGAGGTAGCAGCTATACCCTAAGTTTGCTTTTCCTATATTCTTTAGAGTTCTATTTTAGCTCTTATAGTCATCACCTTTTACTGGTTAATAATTATTTATGAAATTATTCCTGGTCAAGTGATTGGTATGGTTTCTGTCCCACATGGACCCTGACTGAAAGTGTTTGCTTATGTTCTGAAGAGAGGCTTCATTAAAGGATCCAAACCAGGCTGTAACCTACAGAAAGAAGTCTGCAAAACTTCAGGAATTATCAGTAGTGACCTACCCTAGCTTCCCTACCGCACAAGAGGCTTAGAGGGGGAAAGCTGCACAATGTCACTGAATGGAGCAAGTAGCACAGCAACAATCCAAGCCCAAATCTGAGACTGTAAAGCAGGACAGGCACCTTGTTTGGTTGGTTTAGGGGAACGGAGAGTTCATGCAACTTGAAAACACCCCTGAAGGAATTCAGATAGACACTGCCCTCAAACCCACTAAGAAACACAGCTCTCAAGTCCATTGGCCTCTGTCTGGTACCTCTTCAAAGATACCAGTCACACCCAGAGGGAGGTGTGTAAAAGGACTTCTATATCACAATCCTGAGCAATCATTCAGCCCCCAACTTGTACTGTGCTCTAGGTTGAAATGAAAAACAAAGAGCACTTCCACAAAAATCCTCACAAGACCTCAGTAGGGGCAGTTTATATCCATTTTACAGGTCAAGAAACTGAGGTCCAGAGAGATTAAATGACAGAAAGCTGACTGTGAGTCAAGACTAATAATCCAGGTCTTCTGAGTCCAAAGAACTCCATTGCCTCATATAAAAGAACGGCACAGGCCTGGGAGCAAACATAGCTAGAAACTCACCCCTGGGGCTGATCCAGGATGAGGATATGTAACTAACAGGTTATACCCAACCTTAAAGCTCAATGTCCAGATGCAGAAATTACTTGCCCAGTTTTTTGCTCAGGAGAAAAAGGTATCCTCCATGTGCGTGAGGGGAAGCGCAATGTGGAGCAAATTATCCAGTCCTCATACCACGCAGACCAAATCAAAAAGGTGATTCAGTTTCAAGTGATAGGGCTCAAAGCTCAAATAATTAGGGTGGATGTCTCTGCACAACCCAAATTCAAAAATCAATCGCAGGTGAAGAGTGTGAAAGCAACTCCGCTTGATAGCCAGCTTCTGATGCAAAACCTAACCGTCTCCAAGAATTACACGGGGCAAAGGCTCTCGGACTTGAAGAATCTTAACTACAGAAGGCTTTACTCAAAGCGTAGTCTGGGAGAGTGGGGCGGGGAGGTGAGGGGGGCAGAATCTGCACTTTACATGAGTATCCGCCCCTCCCGCGCAGGTGAATTTCTTGCAGGTGGCTCCGGACCTCATCTACAAGCACCATCTCACCGGACGCAGGAGGAGCCACGTGCGGGGCAAGGGGCGGGCCCTGGGCTCGGACGCCTGACGCTCCCGAGGCCGCTTCGCCGCCCTCGCCTGGAGCGCCGCGGACACCAGTTCAGAAAAGGCCACGGACACTGCAGGGACAGCGGGGCGGAGGCGAGGGTCTGAGCCGGGCCGCTGAGCTACTTACTGGCCATGGCTCTCCCTGGAAGCACCATGCACCACGCGCAGCGCCGGCTGAGCAAAGCCAGCTGAGCGGATGTCTCTACGCGGTCCGGAGGGCGCCGTGAGGGGCGGGGCAAAGTCACGTCGAGGGCGGGACAAAGCCACGTCCGGAGTTCCATCCCCGCCCTCATTTTCTGGCCCCCACCCCCACCTTCGGCTGCACTGGAGGGTCTTCCTGCACGCTTCAAGCACATATTAATCACACGCTGTTTGCCCTAGGGTGGGAAAACGAGAAACCTCTAATTACAACACAGTCCAGAAAAAGGAATGCCTCGAAAGGCAAAGGGACAAAGAGAAGGGGGCGACCTAAATCAGGGTGGCGTGCTGGTAAATGTTTAACAACAGGCCTCTCCGATTCTTAGCAAAAGGACTGAATCTCTTGCCGGTTGGATTAACTCTGTGTCCAGGGATAATACTGTGTGCTGATTGCCTTGGTCTATCTGAACAAGTTGGTGTGACGGGGATGGCATTTTATGGGTTAGTTTAGGCACACAAGACTTCAGTGGGACCTGAGTACAAGGCTGCTCGTAATGAGAGAGGGGAAAAGCAAAACTAAGGGTTCAAACCCAATATCCTCAACAATTCAGTCGTCTAATATGTTGAATCTGCTAATATTATTTTAGATTTTTTGCATTTATGTTCATTAATCAGGATTGCTTCTTGATTTTTGTGCTTTTGTCAAGTTTGGGGATCAAAAATAATAAAACAAAACTTGCTATCCTTTTTAATGCTCTGTAATAGTTTCGATTGTATTGAAATGAACCCTAGTTTTAAAAAGAAGACTATAAAACAATTGTAGGACGTTTAGGGGCATTTCGATATGAACTGGATATTTGATGCTTTAATGAATTTTGTGTGATAATGGTATTGTAATTATGACAGATAACGTCTTTACTCTGAGGAGATACATGAAGTATTTAGGGGTGAAGTGTCAGATGTCTAACTCAGTGGTCCCCAACCTTTTTGGCACCAGAGACCCATGTTCCTATGTGAATGTAATGCCTGTTGATCTGAAGTGGAGCTGAGGCAGTGATGCTAGTGCTGGGAAGCAACTGCAAAGACAGATAAAGCTTTACTTCCTCACCCACTGCTCACTTGCTGTGTGGCCTGGGGCCTAACAGGCCATGGACTGGTACAAGTTCACGCTTGGGAGTTGGAGACCCCTGCTCTGACTTGAAAATGGTCAATGAAAAGGAAATGTGTGCTTATACAGAGATAAAGCAAATATAGCAAAATGTTAATTATTACAAGGAGGATATATAGCTTTTTCATGGTAGTATTTTAAGACTTTTTAAAAGTTTAAAAATTTTAAAACTTTCATAATAAAATGGGGGGTTACATAGCAATTATGGGGGCTTAGCAGCTTTAACAGACTATTTAGAGCAGGCTTTGTAGCAGGAAGATCTTTAATAACCTTTTAATTTCTGCTATGCTTATTAGCCTATTGAGGTTCTTGAGTCAATACTAGACATTTATAAGCTTAAAAAAAAATTGACCATTTCATCAATATTTGTAAGTTTATTGCCATAAAGTTACATCTAACAGTGGTTCCAAATATGGCTGGACATGCTATTGGAACATTCAGGTGGAGATTCCCAGTAGGCTGTTGGACATAAGCTCAAGCCTCAGTCTAGGCTGGAGACTGATTCAGGTGTCATCAGCAGTTCAAACTAAAACAAAGCTCTGGATGTGGATGAGAACACACGAGTGGACTGTGAAAGGCACAGGCAGAAGCCGAGGAGCCTGGGAAGGAGCCAAGAGGTAAGGAGCGTCAGGAGAGGGCCATCAAGATAAAGAACCTGTGAGTGCCATCTTCCCTATACTCATGCAGGGAAGCTGCTGACTTGGTTAAGGGTCATTTCTAAAGAAGGGAAAGGTGATAATGAAAGATAAAAATGAAAACTATATTCTTGAGCCTTCCTTTAGAACTTTGCGAGCAGAATGGAAAAGCTAGTTGCTGGGTTTGAGTTCTGCCTCTGCCACTAATTTGAGGTTAATACCTAGGGCAAATCGCCTCACTCTCAGGACCTTTACCCAGTTTGTGCAGTCTTCCCTGCAACCACTCTACTCCCTACCCCTTCAACCACAGCAGCTCTGTCTTTGTGTTTCTGTGTTCCCTTCCATGTGACATTTGAAAAGTAGCCAAAGAATAAAACTACTGAACTAAATGGATCTCTAAAGCCCAGCTAAAAATCTGGTATTGTCAACCATGTCTCACAGCTTTAATGACCATTTCCAGGCTGGTCCAATTTCTATTTTTACTCCAGGGGAGCTATTCTTGTATTTCCAGTTGCCTGTAAGTCATCTCTATTTATGTCTTGAGATCAAGTCAAACTCAACTGTCAGACTACATTTATCATCTCTAAAAGAGCTTCTCCTCCCAGCTTTTCCCATTTACTTATAGGCACCATTTGTGCCATTTTCCAATTCTCTCTACTCCCTATCCCTTACCCCGCTAAATATGTCATTTCTATGTCTTTCAAGTCTTTTATCCCCAGCCTCTGGTTCAGTACAGGGACCTACTTAATCCCCTGAAAATCCCTTGATTGCTGCCTCCTTTTCTATCCCCATGACCACTATCCATGGCTAGGCCTTCCTCATTTGGAGGAGACTGCTACAGACAATTTTATAACTGGTCTCCTTTCCATCACCATCTTATCCTCCAATCACTCCTTCATAGTATTAGGAAAGTTAGTCTAGGGGAACATGAGTTCAATTTTGGGGGATAGGTATGCAAATGACTAATAGTCAGAGATGAAAGGCTGAAAATCAGGGGGAAGAATTGGAATAATCTGCCCCAGAACAAGAGCAGAAAATCTAAGAGTGGCAAAGATCCAAGGAGAGATACTACAAGAAAACTAAGGATCATACTGGGAAATTATCATATTGGGTTTAAGAGCTTTGTACAGGGAGAGGGTCCATGTATGTATATATATGTGTATATATATATATATGCATATATATAATTGTTTCTAAATTTCTGATGCAGTTGTCTACAAATCAGAAGGCATGAGTTCAAAATTTTGCTCCATCATGAAAGGTCATGTGACTTTAGGCAAGTTACTTAAGGTAAGAATACCAACAATATACCTACATGGAATAGAAAGTTACCTATGGAATGAAGCTGGTGACTTGAAGAGAAAAAAATGAGCAATGTACTGAAAAAGGCCACTAGATCTGGCCTACCGTTTCCAGGCCATCCTACAGCAAAAAGATTGGGCCTAGTGTAGCAGTTATAAGCATGAACTCTGGAATTAGACTGTTTTTATTTTTATTTTTTTGAGAAAAAGTAAGATTTATTGAATGTACAATTTATTAGGAGACGGCCCCGCTAAAGAAGGCTGCAGCCCTGTGTAACTCAGGAGGTGAAGACATAAGATAGCATATACCCCAAAGAGAGGGGCGGTTTTCCAGCCAGGAGTGCTGTAACTAGACTGTTTTTAAACCACTCTTGTGCTGCATCATCTTAGAAATCACTTATCCTCTTTGTGCCTTAATTTCTTCATCCATAATATGGGAATAATAGAACACACAGCATAAGATTGTTATGAGGGTCACAAAACTGATTTTTAAATGTTGCCACTTAGTTCAAATATCAAAAATTGTGTGGACCACACAAAACGTCATATTTAGCCTTAAGCAGCCAGTTTGCAAACCCTGCTATTCTTGTTTTCATTCATTTGTTCTGCAAATAAAGGATGACCACCGCTACATGTCAGGCATTGATGTACGCACTGGAGATACAGTGATACTTCACACTCGTAAAAATTAGATTAGTTTAAATTTCTTTACTCTGCCTCTTCATAAATTAGTTGAAAGGATCAAATAAGGAATGTGAAAATTCTAAGAAATGTCAGATTTTGAAAACCTATTAATGAGCTTTTAAAATATTTTCATTTCCCATCTTTTGGATGTAGTTCTATGTTTTAATACATTATACATTTGTGTAACCCCCACTACAAGCAGGATACAGAACAGTTCTAGCACCCTACAACTTCCTTTGCTCCTTCATAATCAAACTCTTTCCTCACCCCTGGCAACCACTCATCAGTTCTGTCCCTTTAATCTTGCCTTTTCCAGAATGTAATACAAATGAATTATAACAGTATTTTGAGTGACTGCTTTCATGTGGCATTATGCCTTTGAGAATCACACATGTTTTTACATATATCAAGTTATTCTTTTTTATTGCTAAGCACTATTACACTGGATGGATATACTAATCTGTTTATCTGTTAACATACTGAAGGATATTTGGCTTGTTCCCAGCTTTGGGCAATTACTGAGCTGCTATACACATTGTTGTCCAGGTTTTTGTGCAAACATAAATTTTAATTTCTCTAGAGTAAATACCTAGGAGTGGAATTGCTGGATCATATGATAAATGTATTTTTAACTTTCTAGAAAACTGCCAAACTTTAGTCGCGTGGCTGTACTATTTTGTATTCCCACAAGCAATGTTATAAATATTCTAGTTGCTCCACATACTCACAGCACTTGTTATCATCAGCTTTTGTTTTCAATTTCAGCCACTCTAATTAGGTGTGCAGTAGTATTATTGTGGTTTTGACTTGCATTTCCCATGGCTATTTTTTTATGTGCTTATATGCCATCCATATATCTATTTTGAAATACTTGTTTAAATCTTTTGCCCATTTTGTTTTCCTATTGTTGAGTTTTCAAAGTCTTTATATGTTCTCAACACAAATCCTTCGTTAGGTTAAGTTTTGCAAGTTTTTCCCCCAGTATACTGCTTATCTTTCCATTCTATTGACAGTGTCTTTTGCAGAGCAAAATGTTTTAACCCTTTTTGTTTAAAAAAAAAAAAAAGTGCAGCTCACTGCCAGCATTAACATCACATGTAGGAATGCTGTTTTCTAGGATTTGATATTTTCAGCGATCAAGAATTGCTATATTTTGTAAATGGAAATACCACTACTAGAAACAGAATGCTATAAATAGAATGCTATAAATAGAATGATGTCATTTGTTTCCAAGGACTATTGACATACTAGAGCAAAAAAAAAGACTACAAAAGATTCTTTGGGGAGCATTCCGAAAAACCTGAGTATGGTCTATGTGCTGAATGTTAGTTTTTAAAGTTTTTAAAGATGTGATAATGATATGTCGTGGCAAACTT